GCCTCGCTTCGCCGCTATCAGTCGCGCCTCGCCGCGCCTCCCCGCGTCTCTCCACGTCTTCGCTGGCCACTCACCTCCATCACAACACTCTGCTCGTCCATGTTCAAGGGAAGAAGAGAAAGGGAAGAAGAGAAAGGGAAGAAGCGTGGCGTGGCTGCTGGGGCGCATTGAAGAGAAAGAGGAGGATCTGAGGCCACTTAGTAAAGGGATCTGGTGCGGTGCGAGGGAAAGAAAGAGATCTGGCGGTGCGCGTTAGGAAAGAAGTTTCACCCTTAATTAATTAGGTCTAGGCCACTTGGTACGCGCAGAGGATCTGGGCCTATACGGCCTCGGTTCTTTAATTTAACCGGTGCCTATTGTGGGCATACGGCCTCGGTTCTTTAATTTAACCGGTGCCTATTGATATTGATTTGACTGATTTGACGAGTTGCAGATTTTTATGCTTCGGTTCTACGTGCAACCGAAGCAGTATTATTTTTTCTGACCATGTTTAGGCACCGGTTGCCTTTGAAACCGAGGTAATAGAGCTGTTCTGCACCGGTCTTTTTTGAACCGAGGCCTATAAGGTCTCTTTAATTACGACACTGCCACCGCGTCTGAATAGGCAGCGGTTTAGTGTAAACAGAGGTCTAATGTGCGAGTTTAAAAACACATTTTGTACTAGTGACTTTTCATAACATAGGGACCCAATGTCTTCATTTTTAAAACCGGATACTAAACAGAAATTCACCTCTTAACATAAGGACGAAGTAAGCATTTAAACCTTCTTTAAAATATTGTTTTTTTATATTGAAGTAGAATTCTCACAATTTTTTTAATATTTTTCAAATTGAGTACTCCGGAAAAAAATTTAGATATAAAAATACTTATGAAATATTCAATTTGTAATATATAAAATTTAGATTGTATATTTCATAATGCTTTTGGAATTTAGAAATACTTTCCTGTAAAAAAAAAATAGAGAATTATGTTTATGACTTATTAGACTTTATATATTTTTCTTTTTCATATTTAGTGGTAGAGATAGATTAATGTATTACGAGGTGTAAACATTTTTTCTTTCTAGTAGTGAGGTCAAGAAAGGATTTGTATTGTATTATGTAGTAACATTGTCATATTGAATTTCAATAGCATTGTCTACATACGTGAATGGTCAACAACTTAGAAAATACACTTATTTGAAATTGTATGAAGAATAATAAACAAGAAGAAATGCAAAATTAAAAGAGATTTAAAGTGAACGTGTGATTTGTTATTTTTAGTGTTTTTACTTTTAGTCTTCAAGGTATATAATGAACTAGTACTTTATGTGTGAATGTACTAGACTATTTTTTAAAAAAAAAATATTTATTATATAAAGTGAAGTTAATTAAAAGTAATTATTTATTTTTTGACTTTATAAAATTAAATAATAATATTTTATTATTTTTCATATAGGCATATATTTAAATTATTATATTTATATTTTTTAATAAAATTTACTTTCTTTTTTAATAATAAAATTAATTCAAACTAATTTTAATAATTATTAAAAATTTATTTACAAATACTATTTTATAATTGATATTTTTCTTAAATATTTTATTATAAATTATTTTAAAAATATATAATTAAAATTATAAATTATGAAATGAAAAACATTTTGTTATTAAATATTTTACTCAATCTGTTTTTAAAAATGCTCAATAAAAATAGAAAATGAATATTAACGTTTCTTTTAAATCAACTGTGCTCTCTCACATAAGAGTGTATCCACACACACACACACACACATATATATATATATATATATATATATATTATCAACATATTTTATTTTATATGTAATTTTATAGAAAATAATAATTTTAATTATAGAATAAAATTTCATGAAAAAAAAATTATATCTATGTATGAATAAATATATTCATAAGTAAAGGGAGACAATTCAAATTTTGTGTATTATATAAAGAAAATAATGTCTGAATTTTGTTTGGAACATAAATCAGTTGTTTATAGTAGATAAACTTGTAATTTTATATTAGTTGATTTTTATTTTCATTTCCCTGTTCCCCATGAGGGTTATTTTCTTCAACTTTTTATGCTCTTTCAAGAATTTCATCAAAATCCATATCTTGCTTTCTTCATCATTTCTTTCTTCCTTAAAAAGCTCCTCAGCTTCAAATTGTAAGTTTCCAAACAGGTCATTGGTAATTCTAGAAGCAAATTATTGAAATAGTAATCCGTGCTTATACTCGTGCAGCACAATATATTTTTAAAATTTAGTAAATAAATGTTTTTAATATAACAATATATCTAACTAAGTGTTTTTTTTATAGTAATTAAATTACATTATTGGAATTGAATTCAAAAACTTCATCATATTACAACAAATAAAGTACCTAGAGAAGAAAATATCCTATACAGTAGAGTTTGTTTGAGTACGAACATGTTGAATGTTAGAAAATGTTTGTTTGAGAGATATATTTGTTTACAGTGTACAGTTGAAGACAAATTATTTTTTTATAATTGAATTTTTTTTGAAAATGGTTATAACATGTTCTTGTTTTGTGCAAATTATTTTATTAATACCTTACTATTGGGAAAAGAAAAATTGAAATACTAAAAATATATACATTTTATCTTAACAAAAAGTAAAAATGTTGTACTTTTGATTTTTTTTAAATGCTTGAAATTATTCAAATTTTTATAAAACTATAAAATTCTTAATATTGATTTTGCTATTCCCTTGAAATTCAAATTACAAAATTCTAACTTTTTTTTAAATATTTAAAAGGGCATTATTATTAGAAAATCTTTTATTGTGGAGGAACTATTATAGTGGCAGAGACTTTTATTGACAAACACATTTCAATGTGGCAGTGGTTGACTGATTTACCTTACTAGAATGATTACTTTCTATGACAAGTTTTGAGAACTTGCTTTTAAAGGGAAGAGTAAAAGGAATGGTGAAGAAGCAAAGTGATGCTCTCAAGGAAAGAAACTAAAAAGACAAGTCACCAAACTAGAAAGCACCTTAGACTCACTCCACAAACACCATTTCTAGCAAGGTTGATATAATCCTTGTGACTATATATATAAGATTTCACTGATTAGTGGCTACTTACATAGTTGAAGTTGCACTCAAAATGGAGGGGAGAGATGAGGATGTGAGGGTAGGAGCCAACAGGTATGGAGAGAGGCAACCAATAGGAACAGGTGCACAGACACAAGATGGCAAAGACTACAGAGAGACTCCTCCAGCTCCATTGTTTGAGCCTAGAGAGTTAACATCATGGTCTTTCTATAGAGCAGGGATAGCAGAATTTGTGGCCACATTCTTGTTTCTTTATGTCACTGTTTTGACTGTGATGGGTGTGGCAAAATCTGCCAACAAATGCTCCACAGTTGGTGTCCAAGGCATTGCTTGGTCATTTGGTGGAATGATCTTTGCCCTTGTCTACTGTACTGCTGGTATCTCAGGTTAGAAATGCAAGCAAACTCAGTACTTAATACTGTATTCTATGAGTATATGAGCTTCATTTTCAGTAAATTGGTATGCTTGTGGACTATAATAACTGTCCAATTGCTTTTGTGATTTTTGTGAATGAAGGGGGTCACATTAACCCAGCTGTGACATTTGGGTTGTTCTTGGCTCGCAAGTTATCTCTCACTAGGACAGTATTCTACATGATAATGCAGTGCTTAGGAGCTATCTGTGGTGCTGCTGTGGTCAAGGGATTCCAATCAAATCAATACGAGAGGCTTGGTGGTGGTGCCAACACTCTGAGTAAAGGATACTCCAAAGGTGATGGTCTTGGAGCAGAAATTGTAGGCACGTTTATTCTGGTTTACACTGTTTTCTCAGCCACAGATGCAAAACGAAATGTTAGAGACTCGCATGTTCCTGTGAGCAATACTTTCCTATAACAATTCACCTTTTCTATTCAATTATATCAAATTTGTAATGTAAGACATGTAAATGTGTTAGATTTTAGCACCTTTGCCTATTGGTTTTGCCGTCTTTCTGGTGCACTTGGCTACAATTCCTATCACAGGGACTGGCATCAACCCTGCTAGAAGTTTAGGTGCAGCTCTTATATACAACAAAGACCAAGCTTGGGATAATCACGTGAGATAGAATTCATCCTTAAATTTGCTTAGAATTTTTCTTCTTTGGTTTGTCATTGAAATCCAAGTTAATTACTGTATATATATTGCACAAACAGCAAATAAGTTCAACTAAATTAGCTAGTGAACTTATGCAACTGATTTTATTTGGTGCAGTGGATCTTCTGGGTTGGGCCTTTTGTTGGGGCAGCACTTGCAGCTTTATACCATCAGATAGTGCTCAGAGCCATTCCTTTTAAATCAAATTGATGTAAAATTGAAGCCAAGCCATAAAAGTAGTACCTGGTATAGACGAAAACTGGGTACTCACAACAAAGAAGATGCTTCTACCTCTGCCCCTTTCAGTTTTCTACTTTTAATAGTTCAAAACTTGTGTTCTTGGAGATGAAATCGAACTTATGGAAAATGTGGTCGGTCTGGTTTATGTCTTTACTGTAATTTATCTTCCAAACGCATATAAAAAACTTTCGGGTTAAAATATAAGTTCACTTATTGTTGTAAAATACACTTATAAGTTTTGTCTGTGGCATTGAATAATTACTATCTATCTTCTATGCGTAATATATGATTCCAATTTCAGTTCATCGGTTTTCAATCGTCAAGATGTCAAAAGATTGAGAGAAAAATCGAAGAAACCGGTAAAGCATTAAGTCATTTACATTCAGGACCATTTGTTTGGATAATACGCCATTTTCTTGTTGTTCTTGCCAAAAGTACCTTGGTATGATTTTAGGATTTTTAGCACTTAATATTGAGTCTCTTCCTTCATAAATGAGAGATGTATTTATAAGCCTTAGTTGTTTTTAATGCTTGTGCGGTGCGCGAAGATGTGTTGTACAGTGATACAGTGAAATAGGTGCATGGGGTGAGGGAGAGGAAGAAGAATTTGTGGTATGGGACGCTAGGTTAAAAATAAGAAAGTATGAGTAAAAGTAGATAGGTGAAATAAATGAGAGATTTTTTTTACTTTAGAAGCTAGTTCAAATATTTAGAAAAGTTTAAAGGTTGGAAAATGATATATTGATATTCATTTTTGACATTTTTCACAGTGCCCGGTTGCTTTTCATTGGTCTAGATCATTATATTTTGTAATTATTTTTTTGCTAACGTGGAAATCAAATCCACTTGCAATGGTGTTTTCGAAGGTTGTTTAGTGAAAATCTCATCCAATTGCGAGTTTCTTTTTTGTTTGTTGCTGCTAATAGTTGCGAGTTTCTTCTTCGTTTGTTGCTTGTGGTGCTTGTTGGTTAGATGTAATATCCATCATTCGAGTATTGTCTGTTGTGAGACCTTTCTGTTCATTCTTTAACTTTATTTTTGGTGTCATTCTCTATTTATATGTCATTCTCTATTTTTAGTGTTCTCTCTTTGTTTCACTCAGATTTAGGATGAAAAAGTTAGTTTTTGGAGTTGTTGTTATATTTGTACTAGTGTAGTCAAGAGAAACGACAGCGGTTATTTTCGCTTATAGACAGCGGTTCCGCAACCGAGATATATACTGACGAGGTAAAAAGTCTACATTTTTTGTCTCGGTTCTGAACCGAGACAAAAATATGTACGTTTTTGCCTCGGTTCAAATACAACCGATGTAGTAGAGGGTTCATCTTTTTTACTTTTTTTGTTCTGCTAGACTTTTGGCCTCGGTTTGTAGTTGAATCGAGGTCGTAAAAGAGTTTATTTTTTTTCCTCCAATTATATGCATCGGTCTTATGCCTGTGCTCAAGCTCCTTGACAAAGTTAATAACACCTTCAATTATAGAAGCTTGATCACCCTTCAATGGCTAACCAGACTAGACAAACAAAAAAAAAACAAACAAATTTTTTCAGTACGAAGGAAGCAAGTAAAGAAACAAATAGGTAAGAACAAAAGAAGGAAGAGGAGCGAAGTACCCTTTGGATATAAGAGTTTGGCATGAGAGAGCGAAGAACAAAAAGATATTTGATATCACCTTTGGAGATTGAGCTTCAACAAGAGCTTGGAAATGCTCCAACTCTTTACTTTCTAGAAGAAATATAGCTTATAAGAAACTATACCACCAACAAGAGACAATATTTTGAGAACATGAAAAAAATGTACAATCCGACACTTACATGTATTTCTGGGTCTTTAAACTCATAAACCTTTATTCCATTAAACCAAATAAATTCTGAGATTGTGGACCCGGAAGGGCCAATTGTTCGGAGATTCAGCCTAGGGAGAGTTTCTACCAGCCTAATATGTGAAGAACCATGCTTCTTATGCGTTTGATATCTATTACCATAAAAAAGGCAATATCACAAACACCACAAGGGAAAAACAGCAAATTAGCACCAGCACCATCTAAATCGTTACCAGAAAGAAGGCAATATCACAAACGGCCCAGCACCAGCAACGACAATTCCTCCATACATCGCCTTCTCCCACCCCAAATCCAAATCTCTAAATCCAATATCCTCCAAAACAAGACACGACCTCACCATAGTAAAGAAAGGCCTTCCCAAAGTCGCCATCAGATCCGCCACCGAGTGAACATACTCCTCGCTCACCTCGCTCCTTGCCTTCTGTATCAGCCTCACCGCATACTCCAACGGCTCCGAGCAAAGCTCTCCGGCGGTGGTCACAACTACCGGAAACCCGAAGCAGCTACCAGAAGTGGCGGTCATGAGCATCGTTCCTCCGCTGAGGCGATGGACTGCACCCAAACCCTACGTACTTCCCTCCCTACGTTCTTCAGGCCGCAAATTGTTCTCCGCCATCTTCCTCGCGAAGAAGCTTTCTTTGTTCGTCGCCGAGGCCTCCAATTGCGACCGCGTGATGTCCTCTGTCCACCTAGACCTCGCTAGCACACCCGTGCCGTTCGAGCTCCTGATGGCCCCGGTTGACATGCTCCGAATGTCTGCCGGACACCCCCCGTTGTCCCAAATGTCCCATCCTCCCTCGTTAGGTCTTCGCGTCTGCGTCAGCGGCTCGCCGTGCCTCGCCGCGCTCGCCGCCAACGTTTAGTCTGTCGCGGTGAAGAAAGAGTGCAGAAGCTTCAAGCTTCTGGATTTTGAATGATGAAGAGAAAAAAGAAATGAAATCTGGATACCCAAGGCTCGCGAGAAAGGATACCTAAGGCCAAGGGATTTCCTCTGATTAGGGTAAATTACCCCTTTCAAACAGAACCTTTTTGCCTCGGTTGGTCAGAGAACCCAGGTAGTATGGCAATTTCAAAAAGTTGGCAGAACATTACGTATCGGTTTCGCTTATGACCGAGGTAATTTGGTTTTTATGCTTCGGTTCCCCTGCAACCGAGGCGTATAAGTTTGTTAAAATTGCAAAAAAAGTCACCGCCTTTACATATGCTTCGGTTCTTTGACAACCGAAACATATGACCCGCGTTCTTAACCCTGTTTTGCACTAGTGTTAGGTATGGTTTATTGTTTTTTTGTTTGTGGATTTCTCATTATTTGTTTCTGCTTTTAGTGGCTGAATGGTCATTTTGGTTTCTTTGTGTTTCGTTCCATTATTTTTATTATGGTGTTATTGGACTATATTTATAAAATTTAGTTCATTTGTTGGGAATGAAGGGAATGGATGTCAATCTACCCGAAACATCATCTAACACAAAGATCAAATTTCTTAGTGCAATGAAAATTAAAACTCAATAACAAAAATGCAAAATAAATGACAACAAAGACAAAGTGGTGGCAACCAACAAAATAATGTATAAAGTTTGTAGAATTTAACAAAAAAGAAATTCATGCACTAACCAAGGTTATTTGTTCCTAGTCTATCTCCAACATCATCTAACTCACCACATCACAACACACATATGTCAAATTTCGTGATTTAAGGAAAATTAAAATTCAATAAGAGAACTATAAAATAAATGGACACTAAAGACAAAATAAGTGGATAGCAGCCTACAAAATTATGTCACTAGTGTAGAAAAGGTCTTCAACGTCACCCTTTAGACGTCCAATCCTCGAATATCTAATATAAGAAATGATCGGTGACATTTTCATAAATAAAACAACTATTTATACGTCGGCTATGGGAGGTCCCGATGTCTACACATTCATATACGTCGGCTCTCCCAAATGGAAGCCAAAACTAAACGAAAAAGTAAAAAAAAAAAAAAAATTATTACTCATAAACGTCGGTGTGCAGGGGGCTGACGTCTATAGTCTATTTATACGTCGATTATCCATATCAGACGCCTAAAGGGTCAGTCCAGAATACAAAAAGTAACCTTTTGACGCCATTTATACGTTCGATCCCGCCAATCCAACATCTAAATGCTCATAAACGTCGGCCCCCCTTCCCACCGACACCGAATGGACTGCCAAAAGTGACTGTTTCATTGCCCAAACGTCTAAATAGGGCCTAGACGTCGGCCGCCCCCATCCCGGACGTCTAAAGTCTGCTCCAAAATAAATTTTTAAATGCTTTAAACGTCGACTTGGCAGGGGAGCTGACGCTTAAACATCATTTAGACGTCAGCTAACCGACGTCTAAAGGTCTGTTAGTAACCAAAACAGCGAGCGAGGCAGCAGTTACGCGCACTCACTGGTCATCGTTAGGGATGGAAAAAAAATCCGCGTCCGCGGATATTCGCAGATAAAATCCGCGACGGATAGTTGGTATCCGTAGATATTTAGTATCTGCGAGTTGCGGGTAGCGGGTTCTTTAATACCCACTTATAAACGGGTCGGGTGCAGGTATTATACTATCCGTACCTACGGATATCTGCTATCCGCAAAAAATAAAAATAAAAATTTTAATTTATATTTTATTAAGTTAAATTTAATTAAAATTAACATTAATTTATATTTTATAAGGTTAAATATAATTGAAGTTAAATTTTAATTTATATTTAATTTAATATATATTATATTTTATATATTTTTTGTAAATTTATTTAAGTTTTTTTATAATATTTTATAAAAATATATTTTTTTAAATATTTGTGGGTATCGGCAAATATGCACCGGTATTTTTTAAGCGGGTATCTGTGCGGGTAGCGGGTGAATTTTTTTGTCGGGTCGGGTTGCGGGTAGGCACTATCCGTGCCCGACCCGACCCGTTGCCATCCCTAGTCATCGTCTTCCTCGCGTTTTGTCTCCTCTGTATTGCATTTTAGGTTCGATTTTCACTATTTAAAATAATTTTTACTCCGATTACATTACTCTTTGATGAATGATCTTTCATTTGAACTGATTAAAATGTGTTTTCGTTGAGTTTTGGGTGCAGTTTTGCTCGTGTGCTTGGGTGGCGATTTCTTGCGTTTTATACTCCTCAATTTCCCTTCACTACGTTTTTAATATGTTAAGAAGGTTAGCATTCTTGTTTAAAAGTTTTTGTCTATGCATGTTATTGGCTTTTGGAATTGCATGTTATTAGCTTTTGGATATGAATGTTATTGGCTTTTGGATATTCATGTTATTGGCTTTTGGATTTGCATGTTATTGGATTTTGGATATGTATGTTATTGACTTTTTGATTTGCATGTTATTGGCTTTTGTGTTGTT